CTAGAAAACAGATTTGATTTAGTGCACCATGCTTGTCTGACTTTTAAACTTGTATTAAACAGGATTTCATAAAGGCAGACTCCACATCAAAATCTCAGCTAACGGGGCATGGGGATCCATTCTTCCATTTCAAAGGGGCAGATGGGTATGAATATTTATTTACTTTGAGGGCTTTTGTTGGAGGGGAAAAGGGCTTCGTTATGTGTTTTGATTTCACGGCACAATCAAGGAAATTAATACAATGTATAAAACAGTAATTAAAGCCATTAGATTTCTGAGCCCATACAGACACAGGAGATCTCCCCCACATATAAAACTGGTTCTTTTTCTTGCAGTGCTCCTGGCATTCAGCTGCTGAGATTATTATGTAATGTCAGTTCATGTCTCTTCAAAATGAATTTTGCAGATTTAACCACTCCTGCACTGTCTCGAGGCCCTCTGGCCTTACCAGCCTGGGGTAAAGTCTCCATGCTCTACACTAATCACCTGCCTTGTAAGAGCCATGTCTAGACATGCCCCAATAATGCCCCATTTACAGATGTTTGATGTGGGAAGGCCAGTGGGTTCTTGCATCAAGGCCTGATCCAGCTGGGTTGAGATAAATGGAGGGATTACTCCTGCCTTTGCCTGGAATGGCTCATTTAGGGGGTCTTTGGGGGGATCTTGTGGTTCCTGGGCTCGTTTCAGACACTATGTGACAAATTCCTGTGTAGTTACACAGGTAGTGCTAAAAGGGATTCAGACCCTGCTGAATATATGGTAAATATATTAAGATACACCATATGTATTTATTATCCAATGTATTTGATATATATATGCATGAATTAGATGGCTTCCTAACAGGAGAAATGGTGTTTTAACAATAGCAGTGGTGTCTGGAATCAGGCAGAATAGGGAATTATCAGTGTAAGAAAGGAGAGAGTTAAGATGAGATCCTTTATTCTTTTGGACAATATCACTTTCAGAAATGCACCATATGTGCTTTTTAATGTTGGAATGAAGTAGGAGAGAAGAGGAAGAGGAGATTGCCCTCGATTTGGAAAATCAGAGTGCACCAGCATGACCTGTTTCCATGGCTGAGAACCTTCAGCCTACAAAGTTCTTGTTTAAAGACTTTATCTCACTGACCAGATGGTGCAATTTGTCTGGCACTGACATTTGGGAATATCTGCTGAATTTTGCATAAGGACAAGTGTTTTAATCATCCAGTGTCTTGCTGTGCTAATCTCATTTGTCTGTAGTGACCAACTCCTTTCTCATCCCTGGCAGTCGTGGAGCTTGTGTGGGCTTTTACACAACCACCTCCTCATCCCAGCTTTTTTATTGTCTGTCCCTTGGGAATTTCTTTGGCTTGAACTCCTCCTGTTGAGGTGGAATGAAGTGCTGTGGGAAATAAAGCAGATGTGTAGGAGCCTGGGATATTTAAAACCTCCCTTCCAGGTTAATGCTTTCATCAGAACAAATGAAGGATTGTCTTAGAGATGGAAGGAGTAGAGAGGATTAGAGTAAAGAAGGAGCTGTGAAGCTCATGGCTGAGGAGGAAATGGAAGCTGGAGCAGCAGCTGGGGTGTGACCAGGTCCCTCTCTTCTGGGAGGGAAAACAGAGAATTCAAATATAAAACAGAAATATAGAAAAGCAGCTTTGTGAGAGAGAAAAGTCATTGACCTTCCATCCGTTACCTGAAGGAAAAAACTTTAACTGAACTCTCTGGTGCTTTGCCAGGCTGTGGAATGCTGCAGCTGTGCAGGTGGGGACGCAGGAATGGAAAGGCTGGAGCTGTGAGCATCCCCAGCACTGTGTGTGTTGCTCAGCCCTCCTCCTCCTCCTCCTCACCTGCCCAAAGGCCCTCTGCCCACCCCTGTGTCCTCCAGAAATAAAGGGAAAAACACAAGTGGATTTATGCCCCACAGACCCCTGTGCTGTCCCATGTTGACCCATCTCACTTTGGAATGTTTGTTGCAGTTTTATTTAGGAAATTTGGGATCAGGTTTGTGCATCATTAGAGTTTAATTGCTGGGATTGCCTGGAGCAATACATCTGTATTGATACAGCACAGGAATGTGCTGCCCCTTAGAGTAAACCTGTTAGTCCTTGACTATAATGGGAAGGCTTATTATTTAATATTTTAACTATATTTGTGATCACACAAGGCAGGGAACTCTTCAGCTCCTGCTGCCACATCCCGAGGCAGCTCCGTGCGTGCCACAGGCAGTGGGGATCGTGTAGCATCTGTGAGGGACTAAACATGGGCTGTGAGGGATGCTGGGGTGTTAAAGAACTTCCTCTGTGCTGAGGCTGTGGAATTTCATAGCTGAGGGTGTGTTTAATGTGCTGTTACCACTGGAAACTGTGATGGATTATGTGCAACACCACGGGGACACAAAGGAACGGCCAGGTAGTTAATTACTGCAATGATAACATGTTATGAAAAGGAATTGCACTCATGGTCATTCATTATGATGATGAATTTCCCACATTTTGTTACTGGTCATCTGCACCACTTGTGTGACAAATGGCCAGAGTCCCATCCAGGAGGAAATCCCTCCCCTTCCCTTCCCTCCCCTCCATGGAAGGGGTGGTGTTGTTAATGTGACAACATCTAATTGCCCCGGTGTCTGAGTTCAATATCTATATCCATTTGTACATATTACTCCCATCTGAGTTTTCTGTGACACACTGCAGAGCTGCCTTTTGGAGATGAATTTATTCTGGGCTTTCTGTGGCCGGTTGAACACGTATAAAAACACTGGTCCTAAATCTGCAGCGAGACGGGGGAGGGAGGTGTTCTGGTAAATTGCATGGAGCAAGTGGAATGACAGGAACTGGGAAGTGGGAGTATTGCTTGGTACAAGATCCTTGACTCTTGTTGAGTGATAAATTTTCCAGTCCTAAATAGCTGGCACATTATGTTACAGGGGCTTGATGGGTGCAAATTATCGGCTTGGTTGTTTCTAGACAGAATGTTATTACTGGAGGGAAACGTGGCCCAGGGCCAGGAGCAGAGTGTGAACCTCTGTGTACGTTGTCTTGAATTGCAAAAGCAATTGTGTGTGTGCCTGTTGGCATCAACAAAGGGAAAGTCACCACCAAATCCATATTTAAAGTGAAGGAACGGAGCCTTTTCCGATACGGAGCCCGATCACACGGAGGGGATCAGAGTGGCACACTAATTAGAAACAGCCTGTAATCAATAGCTGAGTTTCCCACTGTGCTGAGCTCCTCAAAAGCAGGATTGCAAATGATGTGGTACGAAAACCTCGAGTGATAAATATTTCAGAGAGGATATCGAGCTCTGTAGTTCAACTGGCCTGCCAAAAATCAAGGTGAGACCTCTTAAAATGCTTGGCTGACCCTCTGCCCTCCTCGTTCCTGCCCCTCCTCTCCACGTGCTGGAGCCTCCCGTGAGCAGAGGTTGATGTGGGGCCAGTGCCTCGTCTGGGCTGGCTGCTGGTGTTTTCCTTTTCTTGCAGTGACCTCCAAAATGTGCAGTGTTTCCCCAGCTCATCCACACACAGCATCCCATTTTCATAGTAATTTATTTTTGGCAGTCAGCGTGCAAAAATTCTGAACCCGGATGATTAGCTCAAAAACGCCTGAAATGTGAATATTCAGCAATGGAAAATTTTCCCTGGTCTCCTTCAAGCTGAAGAACATTGGAAGTCACTGGATTTTTTCACTCCTGAATACAAGTCAGGATCTGTCCTCATTTCTGAAGGTCAGCACCTCTTGCCCCAAGCAGATTATTATCCCAGGGATGTTTTATTCATGGGAATGCTGCCAAATGGAAATTATTTTTTCGTGTTAATGAGGAGTAATTTGAGAATTCAGAAAAATCCTGACCTATGGAGATGGGAAAAAGTATTAAGAAAGAAAAATATGTGTGTCCCAAATGGGGGATTCACTGTGCCATGAATGACAGGTTATCCAGGGATGGGGTTCCCATCTCCAGAGATACAGGAGGGATCTCCTGCCTCCCAGCACATGAGGATGCTCAGCTCTGTGCCTCAGTGCCCAGGGACAAATGGCTCCCAGGCACTGGCTGGGTTGGAAAAGTGGCTGAGCCCCCTTTTGCTGATTCTCCTGGATGTGTTGTGCCAAAGGCACTGGAAAGGCACTCAGGGATTGATGTCAGTGGTGTCTCCTAAATGTAAGAAGTTAATAATTTGTTGGTCTGCAGTCGGTCCCTACTGGGGAAGCAGCTCTGGAGGGTGGAATGTGCCTCAGCCTCACGCAAGGGTGTGAGCTCAGCTTTCCCTCCTGGCCTTGGGGGCTCTTCCCTGGCTCCAGCTCCCTTCCCAAGGCCGGCTCTGATGCTGCTTTGTGCAGGTTTTCTCCTTCCCAAATAATTCTGGCTAAGCTGCAGATGGATCATTAACTACAGAGCACAGTGGGCACTGTTAAATTGGGCAGCTTTCTTCCCAGGAGGAACCAGAGCTGCTGCATCCTTAGTCTTCCCTGCAGAGGCCCCTTGGACCAGGAGTGCTGCTGGGACTGGTGTCTCAGCTGCTGGACCTGCTCTCTGCTGAGCCATACCTGCTGCAGCCATTAATTTGAAATAAAAGCTTGAAATGTATCACATGATTCATGACTAAAGCCACAGTTTGCCAGAGTGCTTGTGGGAATTGTGACATTCCATCAGTTGAGGAGCTGTGGAAGGGTGTTTGCTGCTGGATGGAGCCAGCGGGTCTCTTGCTCAGCGAGGTCACCGATGAGCAGAGAAGCCCAGGGAGCACAGGAGTGGGTTTGTGCCTCCCTCAGACCTGACATGGAACGAGGAAACACAGAAATCCTGTGGAGATGGAAATGGTGCCTGGAGGGGGCAGCAGAAGGTGCAGATGGAACAGGACAGGCGCTTACAGCGGAGGTACCTGGTGGTGTGGGGTTCTCCATGGGGTGGGTACAGGGTGGGTGTTACTGAAAAGCAACAGGAGGGAAACCTCCTGTGTGTGCTTTCTGTCAGTATATAAAAATATATTTATATCTATAAATACAGGGGAGTGATCCTTTGCAAAGCCAGAGGGGTGAAGGCTGTGTCGATGAGAGGAGCTGAATCCAAGGACTTTGGCTCTACAAGTGCTTCACTTCCCACCCTCAACAGCCTGACTGCAGAAGCTTCCCTGAAATCTCTGAGAAACATTGGTGTCTATCCTGTTTGGATAAAATGAGGAAAATGTCCTCACTGAAGGATTTTCTGAAATTCATGGAAATGTGCTGAAATGAGGGCTGAGAGATGTCAGGTGTGAGGAGAGCTGCTGGAGCAAGGATGAAGTGCCAGGTTGGTCCAGTTGTTTCTTGAGGAGTGGGAAACAGGATTTTGAACTTAATTTGTGTTCCTGATGGCCAGCACCTGCTTATAAACACTGAGCTTTGGAATAGCAAGACTGTGTGGAAACAGTCCAGAAATAGAGTTTCTGTGTCAGATATTGAATATACAACAAAGCCAAGAAAGTGATGGTGTGAAGTTTGGAGCAGAGCACATGTGACATGCTCAGTGCAGCTGCTCTGCTCCCTTAGCAATCAGAAACACTTCATCCATATGTTATTACAGAAAAGTGGGACTGTGCCACCTGCCTGGGCTGCAAGGAGTGGTTAAAGAACTTTTCCTGATGGAGGAACAGCCATCACTCACCTCTGGTTGCAATAGAATCACTAAGGTTGGAAAAGACCCCAAAGACAGACTGAATGCCCCCTAGCCCACTAAACCACCTCCTGGAGTGCCACATGTGTTCCTCAGTGGGAATGTTTGCTCAGGGAATACCCTCCCTCAGAGGCTGGTGTGCTCCTGCCAGCCGGGCTGGGCTGGGCTGTCAGACACGTCCCCTGAGCAAACCCCTCCTGAGAGAGCAGAGAAACTTCTCCCCACGGTCCTGCCAGCCTTGTTTTCAGGACACGCCAAATATTTGTTTGCAGTGGAGGCAAACACGCTGATCTGGTGTCAATAAACGTCTGGATTCAGCTCCGTGTTTGCAAACAGCGTGTTGGCCGCAGCCCCTCCGTGGTGTCATCAGTGCTGCTCGTTACACAAACTGCTCAAACTGTGCCTTTGTTTTGACACAATTTACAGATCGTTTTTCATCACCACCAGTCACTGCACACAGAAATCTCTGGAGCTGATAGTCACTGCATCCACACTCTGCTGTAGGAAATCGAGCTGCATTTTGTTTTCCTACGAAGATGTCTGGTAATGGCCCTGTGTAAAACATGTTTGGGGCTTGAGGAAAACTGGCTATAAAATCCTCTTTCACTGCTGCAGAAATTCGTAGCCTTGTTTCTCAGTTTCTGCTGGGTTTTAACATTTTTTTTTTTGTGGTAATAACGCTGTTTAATTTTTTATTTTAGGTTTCCTCTGTGTGTCCCCCTTTGTGAAAATGTGTTGCTGTGTGCAGTGAAATGCAGGGTAAATTCCTGTGCCAGCACAGCCACCTCATAACCCAGCTGTGCCAGAGCATCACCACTGCTCCTGCCTCTGCTCAAACAACCCTGCCATGGCATGAAGGGACTCCAACAGCATTTTCCTGCCCCAGGTGGGTAAAATCCAGCAGTGTTATTCCAGCTCTCTTGTGGAAGGGGAAGGCTGCTCCTTCCCAAGGGTGTGTCACACCCCTGGCTGCTCCATCAGGTCACTCTGCTCCAGGGCAGCTCCCCTTAGGTGGTGTTTTCCCTACACATCCCACTAATGGTAATGAAATGATTTCTCCATTTTCTGCATTTGCTCCCATGTTTGGAAGCAGCCCTGGAGCCTCCTGGAGCAGAGGAGGACCCGGGCTCTGCCCTCAGGCCCCCTCCCTTCCCTGGTGCTGGGCTCAAGGCCACCAGCAAAGGGTTAATTACTGTTCAGAGTAACTACTGGGGGACCACATGCATTCTGCTAATATCAAATATAACTCCAGGCCTTGATACAGGGACATTGCTTGGAGCTCTTGTAAAAGAAAGTCTGTCCGCTGCATTAATTCCCCAGTGACAGATTAATTCCCTTCCTTTATCATAATTACAGCCCTGTGCTCTGCAATGGTATGACTCATTTGGTCTCTTACACACCACACCATGGCAAAAATGCTGAGTGACCTGCAGGCTCCATTGACTCCAAGAATCTCACAAGTATTTTAGAGTTGTAAACAGAGAACTGAATTTATTATTCCATCTTCCCACCCCAGCTGAAATAGGAAAGGTGAATGGCAAATTAGAAGCTTCTTTTTGTCCAGCACCTTGTTTTGGTACCTGTACAGAAATTTAAGATTAGTATGTTCCTCATCCAGAAAAATAACTGTAGCTGCCCAGCCATCATATTGAAAAATATATGTATATATATATGTACAGGTGTCAAGCTGAGGTTTTGAAAATCCCCAGACTGTATGACAGAGTGCTGATTTGTCCATCCCTGTCATCAGATACATGCTGTGGATTTGTATAAAACTGTATTAAATACTTATGCAGAATTTGTTAGAGAAGTCTGTGTCCTGGGGCACTGCAGGTTGTACAGCCCTCCAGCTTTATCAGGGAAGGGTAAACCTTTAATTTAATAAGTCACATAGTGAGATGACCTCCCACACTGGTATGGTTTGAATCCAACCCTTACTCAGGCAAGAGAACTGTGCTCCTTTTCCCAGCCTGAAAAATGGGCTGGGTCAGGTCTTGTCCTGCAGATTGTCAGAATGTGAAAGTTATGCATAGAAATGACTGTGTTGGCATGAATGAGTTATTATGAGCCGTGTCCATGTCGTTATGAACTCCTCAGAAGCACAGGAGCCGGCAGGTTCCACTGGAATATCAGAGCTGATATTCTGTTTTAGGGAAAGCCAGTGGTTGGGATAAAGAATGGCTGTGCTTCCAGGAGTGGGTAAAGGGCCAAAGGCAGGATCTGCTCATCACCACAAATCTCTGCACACTATGCATGTGGAGAAGTGAGTTTTCCTCTCAGGGATGTGACACAGAATGTGGACCAGGATGGAAACAGGAGCACACAGGGCAAAACTCCTGTAGGATTTTCTACTAATCCCAGAGTCCTCCTCCTGCTCTCCAGAGAATCACAGAATCAATAAGGCTGGGTGATTTCCATGTGAGAAATCAACTTGGATGGTTGTTAAGCTGGTTTCTAAACTATGACTTTCTTTTCCACCAGTTTGCCACTCCTCTGCTCTTATTTCTTCCATTTTCTTTGTAGGTACAGATTGATGTCTGCAAACTTTCTGCCTATTAAAATTGTACCTCTATCAGCATCTCCAGGAACTTTGTGTGGTAATTTCTAGAAGCTTTTTGTCTTCCAGAAGTCTAAACTTAGACAATAAACAAACCCAGACAAGTGCTTTTTCAGTCTGGAAAGGCATAAATAAGCAACCTGTACTTGTTAAATTAGGTACTATAAAAATACTGAGCTTTAAATCATTGTCCCGGTAATTATTGTCATCATTGTCATTATTAGATGACATAAGATTTTATTGCTGATAATTTGGAGGCTTTGATACATTTATTTGAACTGACTGCTCCTTTGGCTAAGAATAATTGCTTAAATTTTTCTCATGGGTTTTTGCTTCTATAAAAAGATTGTTGACCTTGAAGCTTTTGCTTGATTTTGAATTCTTATTCAAATACAAGTGCCAATAACCCAGACAAAAAATGTAACCCACTAAGCAGACGTTGCATTTGGGGACCTCGTGCAGAGAAGTCAGGTTTTGTGTTGTCAGGGACCCCCAGCCTCTCTCTTAATCCCTTTCTTCTTATTATTTTTTAGAGTGGGAGGGTAAGTTTTGCTTTTCCATAAGCAGATGTTGGTGGTGCTTAAGTGCTTTGACTGCTGGAGGTCCACACTGTGGTTTGATGGACCTTGTTTCTCTTGTGTAGCTGCTGTTGGCCAGGACCCTGTGACAACCCAGCTGTTTGTTGCATGACAGGGTGTGTGTTTGGGTGATGGACCCATTCAGCTGTGGTGAAAACAAAGAACGATTTAGGAAATAAATTAAGGAGAAAAAAAGACTTTGGATAACAGCATCTAATAGTGCCAGGCAGTGTAAAAGACTCTGGAGAGCTCGGAAATGTCATGGTTTCCTGCAGTGTGCAAATAGGGATGAAATTGAAAATCAGCTCTTTTAGGAGAGGTAACTCTTAATTTGCATGAAATAATAATCAAATCATTATCAGACCACCTTAAACAGCAACACTGAAGGTCACTTAAACCGCCTGGAATGACACAACACAATGAGGTTTGTCTGGCATCAATTTTGAAGGATAATTACCCATGGGGTTTGTTAATTTTTATTTTGATTTACTGATTGTGTGTTTCTCGATTATAACTAACTTCAGCCTGCAAACATCTAAAATTGTTGTTTCTGTATGTTCTGAACTCTGTGTCTGAGCTGAAACTTCTAGAAACTGAGGTGATGTGTAAATAAGACACAAAGGTTTTCATTTACCTGTTTTTTAATCAAGAAAGTGAAGATTAGTGAGTCCAATGACAAAAAGACTCTCCTTGTGAGGGCTTGTAGGCTCTGGTGGGTAAAAGGCCTTTCATCCATAATTTTAAAATACTCCTTTGTTTATGGAAAAGGGAAGAGGACACCTTTGCTCCAAGGGTTGTTTGAGAGTTGCAGGACATGCCTCCAGAGGGCCCTTCTCACAGCGTGTCAGGGATCATCACTGCCTGTGTTGACATTCTCCACCAAGCTCTTGCTTCCCTTCCCATGAAAAGGTTGCAATTTTGGCAGCATACGAAAAAAAATCTCGTCTGGTCAAGTGTAGCACAAATGAGTTGACCTTCCTGGTCACAGAGTGGAAGGCCACCTGCTTTGGATGATTGATAATGGCAGCACGAGTGGGTCAGACTTTTCAGCTCTGGAAACAAAGCTGGAATAAGCAGCAAACCAGTTTTGTCTGTTTATGTTCACTGATTTATACTACCTATCCTATATTAGACAGAAATTTGAGCATTATATCAGTTATACAAGCTCTAAGCAGTACATTTTCATTGTTATTCTTCACGTTCATGCCTCATATGATCTTTTTATTGGGTTAATGGCAAATACTCTTAGGTAATAACAGGGGTGTAGGTTAATTATTCAGTAACTGCTGCTACAGAAAGCAGAGTTTCTTTTCCTGCTACAAAAAGGTTTCAATTCCCACCATGTCATTAAACATCCTCACTTAAGAGGCCTGAGAATGAATCATTGCCTCTGATTTAGGATCATCAAAAAGCACATAGTTTCTGCCTTTATTTAATTGTCTTGTGATTTAATGTTAGTGAAATCCACATCTCTCTGCTCTTAGATCTTAAAATGCAGCTCGTCTGGGTGACACCTGGGCCAGTGGAACCTGTTTGTGGTGCTCAGTGGTTGTGCATTTCTGATGACAGGGATGCCCCCCACAAATCCCAGGGAGCTGAACCCCACTGAGAGTGGGAGTTGTGCTCTGGACACCACGGGCTGTGACGAGTCCACCCCTGGGCCGATGTTAATCTGAAAACCCTGCATCCCTTCAGCTCTTTGTGCTCAAATTCTGCATTGGGTTTAGTCACCCAAAGGAAGAGTCACCGTGTAAAGCTGCTGGAAGGTTGAACTTGGTGATCAAAGTTTGGACTTGGTGATCTGAAGGTTGGACTTAATGATCTTGGAGGTGTTTTCTGACCTTAATGACTCTATGATTCTATGAAATGTGTTTTTCCTGAACAACCCTCCATTGCCCACATGTGCCTGGATCTGTGTGTGCTGGTGGAGAGGTGTTCTCCAGTGGGTTGGGGCCGTGGGGATCCTGCACCTTTGGCAGCACAAAAGCAGCTCAGCCACAGCTCCGTGGTGAGATTCCCCGTGGCCACGTGAGGCCCCTGTGATGGTGGGACAGTTGAATGGTGAGCCATGAGCAGTCCTACGTGGCAGAGAGACAACCGAGGGCTTGGCCAGGACCTTTGGAGCAAAGAAGTCGGAGATCTGTAAGGGAAAGAGCTATTTCCAGCTCAGAAAAAAAAATGAATTAATAAAAAAATATAAGTGAACAGCAAGGTGTTTATTTGGCCCACTTCCCATGGGGGAGTCACCTCCCTCAGCCCCACTGCAGGGCTTGTCCTGCTGAACACACCACTCACTTGGGGGGCAGGAGGGGTTTTCCTCTGACTTTCTTTCCCTTTCCTTCCCCTTGGATCTGCACAGGATTCAGGGTGACCGCAGGCTGCAGGAATGCAGTGACTCTTTTTCTCAAGGGCCAGGCATTTGTAGCACTATTTAATTAATAATAATAATAATAAATCCTCTCAACCCGCCTGTCTCTCACAGCTTAGGTGAGCATTATCCCTGGGGGGCACGGGGGTTAATTAACTTGCTCTGGGCTGGTGCTTGAGCCAGAGGGGATCTTCAGTCAAGAGATCAGGAGAGTCCCCAGTCAGGAGATGGGAGGTGGTGCAGCCTCGGTGGGGGCTGGGTGGGCAGCCACGGCAAGGGCAGGGAGGGCACAGGGACAGCAAAATGAGAAAAGCATGTACAAAGCACAAAAAATGAGAGGAAAAGAGGAAGAAAAGGTCTGAGGAAGAAAAGATCTAAGGAAGAAAATACGGTGTTTTGTGGGTTTTAACTCAAAACTAGTGGTTTTTAGCTCCTCGTTCCCCTCTCTTCCACAGGTGAGGCCAGAGGATGGAGCTGCTGTGCTCACATCACCTCCTCCTGCCTCCGGCCTGACTCCAGATAAGCGGCTTGTTGTATGATCTGTCTCCTCATCCCCAAATCTGTGCAGCAGAGAGCATCATTAATGGAACCAGCCCGTGGGCTACAGATCAACAGCGGCTTCTGCTGCGTGCGGCTCCTCCAGCGAGTCACGCTCCGCTCCTCACCGGGGGTGAGTGTCCTCTGAGCCTGCTGAGAAATTGCTCTTCCCCAGCTCAATCAGACGTGGTTGTGTTTTCCTGCCACGCTACAGTTGATTCCCAGCACCACAGGGAAGGGGCCGGAACGACCGTCAGTGATTCGCGCCCGGCGCGGTTTGCACAAGGCTGAGCCACCAAATGTCAGCTCCTACAGAGGCACGGAGGCTTCTGGAGCTGCACCTTTAATGAACCTCAGAAACAGGGGCCTGGAGGAGGCTGAATGTCAGCAGAACAGCCCGAGCTGTGCCTGCTCTCCCGGTGCTTTGGGGGTGAAGCAACAAGTTGCTCGTGATTTGGGCGGAACTTTGCTGACGCAAATTGTCACGATTCATTCCAGTCATGGAGAACGGGGACAACTGGCACCTACAGCTCAGCCCTGTTCAATGCACAAACCTCCCAGCACTGTATCTCGAGTGGATGACACTCCATCAGCTGATGATCTCCTTTATCTCATCTGATATTGCAGCCTCTTCTCTGCAGTGAGTTATTATCAAAGTGTAAAATTTGTTCACATTAACATCTGAAGCCCTCTTCTATTTTTGGGGGGCTTTGATAGCTTGGGTGATATATCAATGACCAAATGTAATTGCTTTCTCTGAAACATGGCTTTCTAAAAGGAAATCTGACTTGGGTGTATGTAGTGAATGATTTAATTTATGTAGAAGCAATGGGTCTGAAAAAGGAGGAGGAGGAAAAGTTGTGATACGGAGGCTGAATTCATCTCAAGTTATGAATAATAGATGACTCACTTGGGGATATTTTTTGCTAGATTTAAATTAAATCTCATCAAAAACATAATAATTGGATATATTTATAAACCTGCAAAGCCCACTCAGGGGGGTTTTAGTAATATTGTCAATACTACAGGTTAACCATAAAACTAGTCCGAATTTACTATGGCAGGGAGTTGTACCTGCCTGTGATGGTAATTCATTATAGTAATCTCTGGAAACTGAGGGTTTAACAGACTTTCTCATTCTGTATTTGGCTTCTAAATTGTCTCCCAGAAATTAGGAAACCTTTGTTGCTTCAGTAAAGTTAGGGAAACTTACTGGATTGGCCAACAAATTCAAATCTTGGTCATATTTGCTCTCCTGGTCAGAGAAAACAATTGATCTGAAAACATCTCCTCCTTGTGAGGGTGGTGAGACCCTGGCACAGGTTGCCCAGAGAAGCTGTGGCTGCCCCTGGATCCCTGGAAGTGTCCAAGGCCAGGTTGGACGGGGCTTGGAGCAACCTGGGCTGGTGGAAGGTGTCCCTGCCCATGGCAGGGGGTGGCACTGGATGGGCTTTAAGGCCCTTCCAACACAAACCACTCCAGGATTCTGTGATTTCAGCTTTGCTCCTGCCAGGCACGGGTGGCTGTGGTGTGTGCAGGGCTCTTGCCAGATGAGAGAGAACAAAAGACTGATCTCAGCTTGGCACCTCAAGTATTTACCCTTTTCTCATAACATTTTGCTCAGGTTGTCTATAGAATTTCTCCCTGAAGTGGTACAAGATGTCTCACCATCTGCCCCTCTGTTGTTTTTTCCAGGAGAAGAGATTTATGGATATTTCAACGTGGTCTCCAAGCCTCCAGTTCTGATGAGTTAATTTGGCCTCCCTAGGTCGTGGTTGCCTCATCTGCATGCAGCAGGCACCCCTCCATGGCTGTAACATTCTCTGCTGATGAAAATAGTTAGATAGTTATTTTTTC